GATGCTTTTTCAAACATTTAAAAGGCACAACATTTTCTACACCACTTTCCTTCACACGATTACACACCTAAAATCAAGTCTTGATTGGTGCCGGTCACAATATATGATTAACGGGATTCTAATATAAGGCCATACCTATACCTATGTAATATTACAGCCGTAAATAGGCCAATTTAAGAATTTAAAATTTAAATTTGGTTTGTAAAAAAATAATTGTTTCGTTCATTTATTTAAATAAATTTAATTTAAAATTTACCTTGATTTTATTAAAATTTTAAATTTTGATTTTCATGTTTCTAATCTTTTTTATAAATTTTAAATAAAATTGTATTTATTAATTAAGTATTTAATAAATATTTACATAAAAATACTTTAAGATTAAAAATAAAATATTTTTATAAAAATATAAATTTTCTAAAAAATTACATATTTGTACTACCCAATATACTAATTTGCAATAAAACACCTCAATAAATTTTTGTTAAATACTTTTTCTTATTAAGAAGATAAATATTCTACCTTGCGAATTATTGTATCTAAAAAATTACATGTCACATTCATCTTTACAATACAATTTTTTATGAAAATAAAATTTAAGTCAAATATAAGTTCAAAGTTTGGTAAATTTAGAGAATAAAATTGTTAATTAATTTTTTTATTTTATGAAAATTTTTGTTTTATATTTATAAGATTCATCTTAATTTTTCTAATTTTTTAAATTAAATTTTTGTTTTAAGAGTATTATTTTTTAAATTTATTATTATTAATATACATTAATTATTGACATTTAATTAATTTTTATATTATACTGTAGTTGCATTATTTTAAAACATATTATATTTTTAAATTATTTAATTTTATTAATTTTTTTTATCAGTTTTATATACACTATTTGTAGTTATAAAAGTAAATTAAAATAAATTATATACATATTTATTATAAAATAAAATATAAGTGTACTACACTGTAAACACATATTGCATTTACATTCTTATAATTTTACAATCTTGTAATTTTTTTTTTTATCTTAATAATTTCATGTTAAATTCAGAAAGCGAAATTCCTCAAAGCCGTCATTTAGCGTCTTAACTTATTTACTAATTTTGTCAAGCACATCTAAAATTTTTTTATCCCACTTTTTTTATTTATTCACTTAGAAATATTTTCATTATTATTTAGCTATCTATTTCTGATATTATATATATATATATATATATATATAAGTTATTCAAAATAATATTAATTATTATATTTTTAATTATGTTTTTATCTCTACTTAATTTTTAAATATTTCAAACATGCATCATAGATAAAAATAATGATGATCATATTCGGAAGTTAAAAATAATAATTTTTTTATTAATAAGAATATTAGTTGTATTTTTTTAATTTATATGTTATTCATTTATGTTGAGAATTTGATATAGGGATGATAATTATAAAAACAAAAACTTAATGAATTCTTGTAAAAAAACATCCATGATGAGTATAGTAATTATTTTCCAAGTGAATGTAAATTTGAGCATAAATATTTATCTTAAAAATTTATGACGGTAAATACTTTAATATCCAATCGCCTGGCTCATACTTATATATAATTAATATATGATTTTTCTAGTATATATTTAAAGGCTATATTAAAAGTATTAAATATATTTTATCAAACAGTAGAAAATAAATGTTCACATTTTTATAATTTTAAAATAATCAATATTTTTATTTTAAATTAAAATTTTGTTTCTATTTTTAATATATCTCTTTTAAACAAAATTAAAAAATACATAAAATTAACATTTTTATCCTTTAATTTTAAGATAAGCTTAAGTTTTGTCTTTTGAATTGATTTTGATTGATTTTAACTATTTAACTTTGAAAAAATTTAAATAAGAAATAATTAATTAAAATTTAAGTTTTTATTATTATTTTACCAAAAAAAATTTAATTTTTTAATTTTAATTGTTTATATTTGATCTTTTTAGTTTTTTCGTTATTCAAGTTAAGTCTCTTATCTTAAAATTTTATATAATAATTAGAAAAATATAATGTGTAACGCTCCATATTTTGTAATAATATTTTAACGTATTAATATAAATGTATAAATTGGTGTATTGAGTATGCATTTGATTGTGTAATGATTTGAATGTAACTATGGTTATGAAGATGCATGAATATGTAGTTAAAATATGATGTGGACTTGTGTTTTGGGCTGAAATTGTGTGAGTATATAGGCTAAGTGTGTAGTGCAGGGTGTTCTGGCTGCAGCGAGAGGGCCCTGGGAGAAAGGTGTGAGACTGTCGTCTTTTCGCTATAGCGAGAGGTCCCTCGTTGCAGTGAGAGAGCAATAGTGAGAGATACATTTCTGTGTGCAATCTCGTTGTAGCGAGAGGGTCTTGTTATAGCAAGATTCTACAGAAACAGTGTAGTTTAGATGCCTTACTGCAGTGAGAGAGTTTCGCTGTAACGAGAGTGTCGCACCCAGATGGGTATTTGAAAGGGTTACGGTTTGAAAAATTCATTTTTCATTCCTCTTTTTAAACTCTCTTCGATTCTATTAACCCAAAACCTTATTTCACCGATTAAATTGCCTCCAAAACCGTTTAGGAGCTAGATTGAAGGTTAAAATCGTGTTGGAGATACTTAGAGGTAAGTTTTAATAGTTAAGATTTCAGTTTCTTATCCCTATTCTCTGTTTTCTCGGTTTCCATTGGTTCTCATGGAATTCTTCCATGTATTTAGGATGAAATTCGTGTGGGAAGTACTACCTTGGTTGATTTTGTGAGTGAGTTTTCAATCCGAGGTAAGGGGAGAACTACCCTATCTTATTTTGTTAGAATTCATTTATTTTGCTATGTGTGATCATGTGATTGAGATAAGGTGTCAGAATATGTATGTTTTGATAGAAATTCCACGTTAGATATGATGAAATGAATATTGAATGATGGGTGTGATGGAGTGAATGTGTATAAGCATGTCATTGATTGATGATTGAATAATATAAATGGTTAGAAATGAGTGTGGATGACATGATAAATGCAATTGTGGATTATGTTGAAAAGGTTGCGTGTATGAAATTTGTGTGCATTAAATGTAATGCGAATAAGTGTGGGCATCTGTGCCGTGTAATGTGAATGAATGTAGGCTTGTGTGCCATGTGCGAATATGAATATTGTATGTAGTTGAAATGTGTGTGAATGAAGCATGTTAAATGCGGTTGTGAATATGCTATGAATGATTTAGTGATACACTGGAGGTGTGGAAGATAGGAACAGTAGAAATACCTTGGGGAAGAGAGAGTGGTGGTGACACCAACAGTGAGCCTGGGTGCACCATAGGCTACACACTCTCCTCTTGACTAGACCTCTAACCAACGTCTCTGTCGAGCAACTCGTGACCGCCTATGTAATATCCGTGAGGTGGAGGTAACCGGCGATCACTCATGGTGTGAAATGGTGATCACAGTATTACAGTGAGTGTGACTACATGCAGTGAGTGCATGTGTGTGAAATGTTATTGGTGTAGTGAGCGCGTAATTTGAAATAGAATGTATGATAAGTGTGTATGTGATTGATAATATTTGAGTAGAATACATGTGAGCGTACAAGGTGAATCTCTATGTTGTTTATGTGATGGATAATGTAGAGTACTCACCTTTACATTTGTTTTTCAGGTGATCAAGACGATTAGTACCGGTTCAGTGAAGGGATGGATGAAACTGTTATAGAACTTATATTTTATTTTGAAATTACGATATAATTGAATTGGTCCTGTAACAGTTATTAATATAAACTTGTAATCCCTTATTATTTTGAAAAATTTTGATGAAATTCTATATTAAAAAATTATATTTAAATAAAATTTTAATTATTCTTATTTTATGAAATTTATTATTTTAAAATTAAATTAAGGTATTACATAATGAAACATGACATAAGTACTAATTTATATATTTGAATAAAGAAAAATTTAAAAATATTTAAATAAAATAATAAATATGATTTTATATTTTATTAATTATTTTATATATTTTTTATTTATAAAATTGTATAAATCAATTATATATGAAATCTTTGTTATATTTTTATGAATCTGTTGATAAAATTTTAAAATAAAGGATTTAATTTAATTAATTAAAAAATTAAGGGAACTAAATTTAAGTAATTAAAATTAAAAAAATTAAAAACATACATAAAGTAAAGTTTGAATATTAAAAGTATAAATAAAATTTTAAAAATAACGGCCTAATTATTTAAAATAATTATTTTCATCAATTTTGCTAACAAATCTTGAGAGGGCATTATTAAAGAATTGATAAATATTTTTTAATTATAAATCAGAATAAGAGTTTATAAAAAGTTACTTTTAAAAGTATATTAATAATATTTTCTCGTAAAAATATATTTTTAATTCTTTAATCAATGTTTTAAAACTTTTTTTTTTCTATTCTATAAATAAACATATTCTTTTAAATTAATTTCTCGCTTTTTCTTTTAATTATTGTTTTAAATGCATTCATTGACATTCAACAACAGTGATTGCTTTTGAATGCATTAAGTCAAATTTTATACTTCCTATATCTCATGGTGAAGAGAGAGAAAATATATATTTTTTATATTATAAATTTGAGTAATATAGCAATTATGATTTGATCTTTATTTAATAAAAAGAATACGTCTTTATCTTTTGGTATAACCTTATCATTTTAAATTGACAACAAAGAAAGAATACAAATTAAAATAAAAATAAAAATACTTCTTTATCTTTTTAATTGTGAAATTTTTCTTGAGAAAAAAAATGCAGAAGAAATGGCATGGTTTATAAAAGCCTCTATTTATTGTCTTTACTAGTAAAACCACATGACTACATAAACTTTGGCTACCGTCACTTTACCAATGATCCTGCCCTCAAACAACCTAAGTATGCCTATCATTTCATTAAGAATGTGATAAAACAAAAAATATACATAGAAATGGAAGCAAATACTAATTGGCATCATGAGTATCTCAAATTGATATATTGAGATCAATCCTAGGTTTCTTTATCAATGGAAAAGGAACAACAGATTTACACCTTGGACATTTGGGATTGTTCTTTGTTATCAATACATATGATAAGCAGCCAGGGCACCCTGCAGCCATTGGTGAAGACAACAGCTTCCCTTCACTTTCTTCTTCTTGGGTATCTCTAATTGAAGAAGCTAAAGAGGAAAATGACAAATTTGATGGTTTCAATAGTGATGCTTTCTTCATCATCATTGGCTCTTTCTCTGCTCTTTCAAGTGCTGATTTCACCTTGTCAAGGGTGCACACACTTTGATAATTACCTGATGGCAAAGAAGGAACCAACTTCAAGTCCAAGCTTGTTTCATCAAACTGGTTCATTCCCACTTTGGATGAAGGAGGAGGTAAGTTTAGGTCTTCAAGTTTTGGACTTGCTTCATTCATATCAATTTTGTGTTCAGACATTGATGGTGATCCTAATGAGTTGTGCCTTTGAATATACACTTTCCCTGACTGTTATTGACAATGATAGCCATAAAAAACCATTACTTATTCATGAAAATAAATGAAAAAAAAGAAGTAATAAATGAGTCTTCCATTAATCATATAATTAGCAATAATTCAAATAGTATTAGTGATATCAAGATTCTTTATTTTATTTTATTTCCTTTTGCTTTTATGAATTCTCTAACCAAAATATTCAATGTAGATATGATTGAAGTGATATAGAATACCAAGACAATTTTGAACAGAGGGTATCATGACACATAAACACAAAAATGGGATCATAGCAGCATAAAAGCTTAGATATCTGAAATCTGAATCCGTGTTTCTTGTGGGAAATAAATACAATGGGACGAAGAACGAAATAAAATTAATTTATTATTGGCCAGCTGTTACATTAAAAGCCAGTTTCTCAGTTTACATATATCAAAGCAATAAAATTTATATAATTCTTATTAATCATCAGTTATCAAATCCTTCTTTCCCTTCAGTTTCTCAGCAACAAATCACACATAACAAATCGGAAAAATTCTAAATCAATCATTCCGCGTAACAATAAAATTCCATTGAAAACAAGAAAATCTGTCATATAGATCAGAAAAGAAAAAGAACAACCCAGATTGAAGAAATTCAAAGCCACACATCACACACAGACACACATACAGAAAAAAAACCAGAGAATCAATTACCTATAGTTAAACAAACGCCCCATGTTATGATAACTCTCTAAAAGTTTAGTTTTTGAGTGATAGAAAATTGGTACTAGATTAAAATATATATATATATATATATATATATATATATATTTTATTAATTTCCAAGAACTAAATATATATGTTGGAGTCATAGTTCAAAGTGGACACTGTTGTGGGAGAAAATGAAACAGTAGAGATAAGAATTGACGGTACCTTAAGGTCCAAGCGCTTTTCCCAGCCAGAGGGTACGTGCAAGTCAAGGTCCAATTCTTGGGTTTCCATGGAGGATGACCCACCAAGCAAGTCACGAGTAACCAAACCTTTTGCTTTCTCACTCTTTGATTCATCCCCAAATATAGAGCTAACTTTCGTTCCCATTGATGCCAACACACACCTTCTTTCCTACTTCTTCATCTTCAATTCATAAATAGAGAAAAAGAGTGTGTTTATGTCTTGTTCGTTAGTTTCTTCTTATATATTTACATTGCACTTTGCACAAAAGGAAAATATAGTTTTTTTTTTTACTGGAAATAAAATAGTGTTATCTTAGGAGACCTTTGTCTATGTTAAATAATAAATGCTGTGAAAATATTTATAATAATTTATAGTAAACTTTTATTCAAGCCTTTTGATAAAAGATATAAATATAATTAATTCATTTTTTAAAAAATAATTTTACTGTGAATTTAATATTTTAGTTGTGGAAAGTAACAACAATTTCACTCTTTAACAAATTAATATTTACATTCTCAATTATTGAAAAATTAATGTAATCTTTGAAATTTCAAATTTGACATTAATTGTCTTTTAATTATAAAAAGATTATTGATTTAATCTCTTAATCTCACAATTTGTGCATTCAAGAATGATTTTATTGTTAGTTTTCATTACTATTAAACTTTAAAGGAATAAATTAGTGATAATAAAAAAGAAATAAATTAGTGCCCAAAATATTTAAAATAACAAATGGACGAGATTTATATACTAAATGCTGATTTGTTTTTAAAAATTATATACAACTGGTGAGTTTTTTTTTTGTACCACATGAATATTATTAAGATAATAAAACCATTTTTCTAATAAAATGATGTCTCAAATTCAATATGCAGAGATAAATTATGCAAAATTTCAAAAAGATATTGACAATATAAACGAATATGATAGTAAATTCAATTGCAGAACTAAATTAATGCGTAGTCGGTGTGTGATCTTTATTTTATGCTTATTCTCTTCGTTACTTTTTTGGTTTCAAAGCAGTGTTATCTCACTAACATTTTCAAATATTTAAAAATATATAAATTTAGTCAATTATATAATTGAATTCGTTTGCTAATTTTATGTTATTCTGTTTATGTTACATTTGATCTTTTAAAAATTACCCCGTTCAATATATAGCTATATTACTAAATAAACAATATATTATATTATACAAAATTAATTCAATTAATAAATAATATTTATTAGTAATAAATATAAATATTTAAAAATTTCAAAATTTAAAAGGTTATTCTAATTAATGAAAAATTAATTATTTTTAATTTATGAATATTTTATTATATTTAATGCTGATTAAATAAATTTAATTAATAAAATAATAGAGCTAAACTCTCCATGAATAATTAATTAAGAAGTAAATTCATATTGATTTAATTTGATTTAGTTGAATGTAAAAATTTATAAACAGAAAAAAATGATATAAATATAAATGAATAAATACAAATAAAATACTAACGAAAGTCAGAATAGCAAACAATTCAGTATTTTTAACTAATATTTCATATTTAAGCTTTTATGTATATAAAAAATTTTTAGTAATAAATTTATCTATCATATTCTAACGTGCGACTCATGTCAAATTTAGATTAAATTGAATAAAAAATTAAAATAAAAAATAAATATAAATGAAATAAAAATTATTTCATTAGTTAGATATTTAGATATTCTAATGATAAAACTTGATAGAAGCATCGGTCACGTTCCCCTAATTAGAGGGTAAAAGGGAGAGATTGATTTTTTTTTTTTAAATAACTCAATCAATGATATGTAACATCATTTTGTTTTGTTGCACTTCATTTTATCCCTTTTCCATAATCCGTCAATAATCCTAGTTAATATAGTAAAAAAGAAGAAGCAATGATAAACATAAAATGTAATTAATGTCTTTTGACCATCCAAAAATATAAATAATTTAGAAATAATGTTAAAAGATATCTTTAAGAAACTATTTTTTTTAAAAAAAAACAAAACATATTTATTTTATATTATAATCTTACGTTATTATTCTTGAACAACACATCTTTTAAAATATCTTTCTCAATGTTTTAAGAATGACATTAGTTATTAAATTGATAAAAATAATAATTTTTAATTTAATATTTTAACTGCAATTAAATTATGGTCAAATTGATAGAATTAAACACATATTATATATTAAATTAAGATCTTTAATTGTAATTTTTTATAAAATATAAGATTCATTAATCTGCTTGTTAGTTTGAAAGTTTTTATTAAGTTAAATAAATTTATAAAATTTTATATAAAATAAAAATTAATACATACTACACCTCATTACTTTATTTTACCTAATAAAATAAAATATTTATTATTTATAATAAATAAATATATTATTACCTTTATTTTCTTTAGAATACGCATACAAACACAATGCATAAACAAATGCTACTTAAATAAAAATAAAGCTTATATTAAAAATATAAAAAAATTTAAATACTTCTTCATTAAGTATTGTTTCAGAACAATTAAATAATATTAATAATTTAAATAAAAATTAAAATGTCAATCATTTAAAAATAATAAATTATTGTGAAGGACATTTATTACGGAGCATTTAGTATATTTTATTAATGTTTTCAATTATTTATAAAAGTAATTATTAAATTTTTTCTATTTTAAAATAATAAATATTCTTTTATAAACTATTTTACTTTTATTTTGTTATTTGTTAATGAATATATTAGGAATCTAATTAAATTGCTTACTAGTATCTTACTACTACTATTCATGTAAACATAATGATTAGAGAATAACAAATATTTTTAAAATCGTAGTTAATACTCTTATTAAATGCACAATACCGTTTATACAAATATGTATAATGTTTAATATTATCCAATTTTGTTAGTCAATGCTATAAAAAAAATAGTTAAAAATTAAAATTAAAATATTTTTATTAAAAATGACATTGAAATTAATTAAAAATTATAAAAAACTATATTAATAATATTTTTGAACAAAAATTTTAATTCTTTAACCTGTTCGATAGTAATACTAGTTAATATTTTTCAATATTATAAATAATTTAAGATAACCACTGACCAATGATTTTAGAAGATAATAATTAAAAAATTAAAAGTAAAATTCTGTATTGAAATATATTTTTAATGCAATTTGACCGTAATTTTAATAAAAGAATTTGATTTTAAATTATTTAATAGGAAAACTTATATATAATTTAACTGAATCTGTCAATATTAATCTTCAGAATTAAGGATAAGCAATAAACAAATAATTTAAAAAAAATAATATTTAATATAATAAATATGTTTTGCTTTCGATTACTTATCGTTAACCTTTTAAGGTTGAAGTTTACAATTTTTTTAAATTTAATATGCGTTTTTATCGTGTGACAATAATTAACATTAAAATTAAAAATCAGAATATTTTGTTCAAATGAATTGATTAGTTGTTGAATTGAATGTAGGGTTTTGGTGGGTAGCGAAAAGTGGCATTGGAAGAGAATTGAAGAAGAGGAAAATGTGGCACACAAGTAATGAGAGCATTTAATACATTCAATACTAAATAAACGGTGGCTTTAATCGGTAACGCGAAATTTGAACCCATTCACTTAGTTGCTTTAAATTTTGGGTAATTATGACTTGTATTCATTTTATAATTAATAATTAATTATGGACAGTCTAACGTAATTTTATTAAACTTCCTTTAATTGATTATTAATTATATAATTTTAAACTCATTTTTTAAAATTAAGGTTAAAATATTCATAATAATAAATTTTTAATTAAAATAAAAAATTTATTATATTCTTATAATTTTAATGCAAATGTGCTACTTTCTGATAACACGCTTATTAATTGAAAAATTTTCTTTTATGCCTATGTAAGTAAAAAAATAGAATTTATATAAAATGTATTTTTACTAAAAATAATAAATATAAAATTTAATATATTGATAATGTTGAATATTAATGCTGTAATTTTAAATAAAATTTATTATCTTTTAATTTTTAGCATGTGCTTTTTAATGTGCTTTACAAAATTATTAATTAAAAAATGTTAACGGGAATAAGAAAATAAAATATAATTTTTTATTAAAAAATTATTTATCACTTTAAAATATAAAAGTGTAATAACTATTATACTTTTTAATAAAAGAAATATTTTATTCATTCTATTTATAAAAATTAATTATAATTATTTTCAGTGTTAATAATAAATATTATTTTTTAAAAATTAATTATTAAATTACTTTTATACTCTTATTTATTATGAAATTTGAATTAAAGAGGCGCTAACTTGTTAACAATATAAATAAATATATTTATGTACTCAATGAATGAAACACTAATTTGACCAATTATTTACCGTCGAGGAATATTTGTGTATGATATTATTTTGTTTTAAAAAATAATTATATTTCCTCATAATTATATTTTTGAGAATTATATATTTTTTAAAATGTTAAAAATATGTTTTAAATATCCTTAAAAGTGTTATACAATAATGACTAAAAATATTTTGATATTGTGTTTGATTAAAATATTATATTTTAAAAATTTTAAAAATATTAATTATTTTTTAAAAATTTAATTATAATTAAAAATATTTATATACACTAGTACTGTTTATTTTAATATTTACAAAATTAATTTAAAATAATAAATATAAAAATTCAATATATATATATATATATATATATATATATATATATATTAGACAATGTTTCTATAGTAACTTTCAATAATCTTAAAGCCAACAAGTTAATAAAAAATTTAAATATATGATATCGAAATAAAAAAAAGTAAAATAAATTAAATTTAAATTAAGAACATTAATAGGTATAATAATATTCTATATTATAGAAATGTTTTGCTATAAATCTTAAATTTTCACTCTTTCTATTAAAATATTTTTTTTGTAAAACTTAATTAGAAAATTATTCTTATAAATAATAGTTTGCTGGGAATTTAATTTAAAATATCTATAACAATCATGATAATTTAACATTTTGAACTAAAGATTTTTATAAACTTCAAAGTTTTTCTTACTAAACGTTGCTTAGATATTTCTAAATTATAGTAAATGTATTATATATAATTATTTATTAGCTTTAATAAATTT